ACCACCACCATCCCATACTTCATCACAGCCACCATCTTACCCTCCATCACCACCATCAATCTCAAACATTCCACCATCACCATCATCGTCACCACCACCACATCCCTAAAGAGCTGCTTCCCCTTCATCGTATCAGCGGAACATAATCGTCTTCTGTTCGGCTGATGGCTCAATATTTAAGTCATCCTATTCTCTGCTGACGGAGTCGACGAATTCCATCACACTTTCAGCCAAGATGGGGTTTGGACTGCTCCTTGTGTGTGTGTGTGTGTGTGTGTGTGTGTGTGTGTGTGTGTGTGTGTGTGTGTGTGCGTGTGCTCTAGAGTACCTGTGCTTTAGGTTGAGTGTGTGTTAGGTAATCATCGAACGCTCACTACCTTCACCCCAGCTTGCTCCCTCTCCCTCTCTCTCTCCCGCTTTCTCCTCCCTTCATTTTCTTCTCTCTCCTTCCTTCCTTCTCTTCTTATTTACCCTCTCTCTCCTTCTCTTTCCTTCCTTCCTTCCTTCCTTTGTCCTTTACTCCCTCTCGCCTTCCTTCCTTCCTCCCTTCTCTTCTTTACCCTCTCTCTCCTCCTCCCTTACCATCCTCTTATGATAGCCAGACCGACCGACAAACAGACAGCCAGATAAATAGATAGAAATATTCAGTAAAATAGTCATACAAGTTTTTATTAATTTACCATGTATATAGACAATGCAGGTATACACACTTCAACATGTATATAAACAATGCAGGTATACAACACAATCCACCCCTTGCTAATATACACTGAAATGAACTGTTGTCTTTACGTTTAATGAGCTACGGAAAGTCATTAAGCCATGACATTAATTTCCCGCGTTTTTTTAATACTACGTCACTTGATGCTATTTCAAGAACACATAAACAACAATAATCCTGAGTTCATATTTTCTGGATGTTGATTTTTCCTCGTGTTTAAGTCTTCATCATGGCTGTAATTGAAGATAAATGTTTTATTTCTAGTTACATTAATTGCTAGATATCTTTTATTTATTTAACATAAGCAAATAATAACTCAAATATTAAATAAAATATCCATTGTGTGTTATGTACTATACTGCTCTTTTAAATAACTAATGTCTTTTAGGCATATTCTCTGTTGATGTTACTATGCTTTAACAACTGTATAAAAGTCGTTTAGGTTCGTGTCGAAGGTGGTAATACACTAGTACAGAACATTACAGTATAAACACTTTACTAGGTACTACGGTGTGTTGACGTGACAGTTTTACACCACTCTCTTCATATCTGTAAACATCAAGATATAAGGTTTATTACCAACAAATAAATAAATAAATAAATAAATAAAACAAAGAAGTCATATTTACACGCTCGTCATAGCAACAAGATATTACAACATTTTAAATAATATCTACAGAATTTAATAACAGATGCGCATCGCGTGAATATCCAAAATCAAGTAGAGAGTATATATGAAGATTCAATAATAAACATACCAGAAGTGAAACTGAACGAAAATTCCAAAAACTAAGCCAAACATTATTATTACGCCCAAAATTCCTACATGTGAGTTATTCATCATCACACGAGCAGGAAAAAATTACGAAAACAATGTACACTGTACAATAACTATGAGAAGAATATGAGATTACAAGGGGAAGAAAAACTAAAAGTAAGCTCGTTTGTTGAGTTTTAAATTTATGTTCACTGAATAGCAACTGGTGAGGAAGACGTAGATATTGTAATGGTTAATGTAGTAGTTGTACATGCTTACAATACCTTAGTTGTACAAGCACAGAAATACATACCTAAAACAACAACCGAGAGACTTAATTTATAACCAACTGGTAGATTAAACAAGTTACCGCTCCCTACCGTTTTCTGTGATACTTCTAGTGAGCGTAAACTAGTGTAAATCAAAGCTTGTAAGAGATACGGTAAACAAAATAAACTTTTCACCATATATCACGCTGTAAAGATATTGTAGTTGACAGGACGTAATATAGGTAAAGTTTATTATATAATTCAACTTGTTTTAAAAGTTTATGAACTATTTCTGATTAAGTACTAAATATAACTGAAATACAACATGAAATTCAACTGCACCCGGCATTAACGGTACAGCAGACCAAGCCCAGGCATTATACGTTGTCCTTCAGGTTCGTGTGACGTGATAAGGCTCCGCTCACCTTTAAATCCACGATTATATTACTATGATAATGAGTATTATTGGAGTCATATTGAACCAACTTGAAATTTAAAATGTTCTCTAGTGACCAGGGTTTATTTCCATCTCTTCCAGCTTACTATACAAAATCCAATTATGCCTTTTTACACACACACACAGGTACACCCACCCACACACACACAGACACACACACACACACATAAACATACACACACACACAAACACACGTTACAGGTTCCGCACAATAGAGGTGAGTCGAAGCATAAGTACATTTTTCTCACCTCCCTTTACTATTTTCACAGCGGTAATTTACTTTATTCTTCCCTCTTCCTCCTGTCACCCTCTTGTACTCCCGGGAAATTCATGCTTCCTTTTTTCTTTTTTCCTCCGGTTATTTCCCCTTTCTTGCTCCTTCCTCTATTCTGGACAGCAGCGATGGTTAAAGCTACCAGTTTTAAAAGCCCGCAGGTCAACGTAAACAGAATACTCCATTTTTAAAAGTCCACAAGGAAACAGAGGATACGCCATTTTTAAAAGTCCTCATGTAAACACAAGCCGAGGCGTCCTATAATCAACAACATGACTCACACAAGCCCACAGAAACTAATCATTGATAATACTCATCTTTGATCGTTCAATTTTCCTTCCATCACCTCACGCCATAATAAGTGACCTTCCCCTCACCTCTCCTCCCCTCCTCTCTTTCTCTCTGCTCATCATTCATCACTGCTCTTTCTCTCTCATTCTCTCCTTCTATTATGGTTTTCTCTCTCACCGCCCCCTCCACCCATCACTAC